AAACCCCCCTTAACAAAACCCACCCCTCCAAAAATATCAAAACACCCCCATCCACCCAACCAATCCCCTTTCATCACCCCCTACCCACAAATTCCATAAAATACCCCATATCCCACTACTAGAACCTTCACCAAATATTCCCCCCCCCCTTCCCCTCCACACAACCAAAACCACACCACTAATAATAATAATCTCTTAATCAACAACCACCCCCCCTCAACAACCCCCAACCAACCCCCCCCCAATCAACCACCCCCCCCCCCCCACCCCCCCATACCCACCAAACCCCCCCCCCCCCACCCACACACACAACCCCCCCCACCCCAAACCCCCCCCCCCCCCCCCCCCCCCCCCCCCCCCCCCCCCCACCCCCAATACCCCCCCCCCCCCCCCCACCTAACCCACCTCAAACCCCTATCCCCTTCTTTCATCAAATCCACCCACCCCCAATCCTTACACCCACATACCTTTCCCCCCTCATCCCCCACTCAATCAATTCCCCAACATTACCCAAACCTACTACCCTTCATACCCAAACACCCATCCAAAACAAAAAACCACACCCCTCTATCCACCTCCAAAACAAAAAACGAAAACACCCACATCAATTCAATCCTACCAAACATCCAACACAACACTATCCCACATCCTACATTCTTCCCCCCCTCCACCCTACACCCACCCACCCACCCACCCACCCACCTTCACAACAACAACCCACCCAAACCAAAATTCCCCACCCACCACCCACAAACCCTATCACATCCCAAACCAATCCCACCCCACACAACACCAAAAAAAACTTAACAAACACCACACACCCAAAAAAAACAACAAACACAAACATCCACACAACAAACATACAAACACCCAAACAACCACACAAACAAACGACAACACCCCAAACACCAAACAAACCAACAACAACACCTCAAACAAACCAACAAACAAACATAAAACACCAAACCCAACCAAACAAAAAACATACAAAACCACCCAACAAACAAACACACATACAAAACCCCACACAAACAAACAACATACAAACTATACCTACCCCCAAACACAAACAACCAACATACACAACCCACACAACCCAAAAAACAACATCAAACATATAATCCTACATAACTATTTATATATCAACCCACCCTACCCTTAAATATATCCTCTTCCTCCCTATACCCACCACCACCCCCCCCCACCCCCAACCCCACCATACCAACAACTCCATCTACACTATCATCCCAACCCCTTCTCAACCCATCTTTTATATTATCAATATCCTTAATCCCCCCTACTAATAAATAAAACATAACTCACTCATCCATCCCAAATAATACCCCACCCACACTAAACAACCACTCCCTCAACACACAAACCCAAACTCAAATATATCTTCTTCACCTCACTTCCAAACAAACCCTCCCACCCCATCCCCCCCCATCCATATCAACCTTAAAATTCCAATAACTAAACACAATACCAACACCCAATATCATAAACCTACCACCACCCTACAATCCAACACACACTTCTTAAACACCATAAATTCCCACCCTACTTATATCCATCAAACCTAATCCTCCCAATATATCCTTCTTCACTCCAACCCCCCCAACCATAATAATCCCACCCCACTTCAAATATCCCTCCATACCCCTCCTTCCTTAATCTTCACTTTCTCCTTCACATCCAAACACATACATACTCTATCCCCCCACAAAACCAAACCTTTACCACATAATAAACAATACATACTAACTCACCAAACCCCCCTTTTAACCTATATAAACCACCCCACACTCCATTCCTAACATATAATTAACCAAATACCCCCCACCTCACCACAACCACACACCCCCACTCATAACATATTACCCATACCCCACCACCCTTCTCCTAATCAACCATCCCACACCCAACCACCACCACAAACTATACAACCTACCACCACCTATCCCCACAAACCCTTCACACCCCCCCACTTTACCCACATATCATCACCAACTCCCCATCCACCAACCCACACTACAACAACAAACAAACCCATACCCAATCCAAAAAAACCCAACCAACACCTATCAACCCCAAATACAACCCCACCCCACTACCACAACTCAACCTAAACCCCACTACCCCCCCCCCCTATCATCACAACCCACACCCAACACCCACCCACAACACACCACTCCCCCCACCAACCACCCACCCCCACCCACCCACCACCCACCCACCCCCCACCACCCCCCCCACAAATTACTTAAACTACCAAAACCCCTACACCCTACCCCCCACCTATCCTATCCAACACACACCCCCCTCAATAACACCCCCCATCAAACTCCAACCCACCACAAACCTCCCAAACATCCCCACACACATCCATCCCACTCAATTAACACCCACCCCCAAAAAAAACCACAACCACCAACCCCCACTAAAAACCCCCACCCTACCCCTACCTTAATACAAATCAAAACCTCCCCCACCCCAAAAACTTAACAACAATCACCCTAAAACACCCCACACATCAATAAAACAACCCCAACCCCCCTAAAACCCTCCCACATCCCCTACTCAACCCATCCTCTAACCCCCCCTACCATATCCTACCACTCCCCCCCCAACCCAAATCCCCCACCATCCCCCACTATACCACTACACCTATCTCTCACTAACCCTCATCAATCCCTCCTACCAATCCACTTCTTAAATCTATCTCCCCCAAACTCCACCCCCAAAAATCTATATAATTATCCTCCCCCCAAATCATCCAATCACATACTCCACACTCCCACAAAAAATACACACCTACCTTTTCCACAAACACCCCCCCTTCAATCCACCTCCCCCCTCTCCTAACACCACATACACCCCCAATATACATACATCACCATACCCCAACCACACCCCCCTACCAACCATACCACACACAACCATCCCCCCCACCCCCACCACTCAACCCAACCCAACAACCCCCCCACCCCAACCCCCAACCCACACCAACCCACACCCACCCACAACACCCACCAAACCACCACCCACCACCCCCACAAACCACACAACAACAACCCCACAACAACCAAAACACACCACACACACCACCACCCCCACACCCAAAACCAACAACCCCCACAAAACACCCACAACCACCCACACCCCTACAACCCCATCCCAACCCCCAACACCAACACACACCCCCCCCCCCCACAACCCAACACCCCAACACCACCCACCACCCACCCCCCACCCACACACCCCACCCCAACACCACACCTACCCCCCCCCCAACCCCCACCACCCCCACACCACCACCACACCCCCCCCAACCACCCCCCCCCCCAACCCCACCCCCCCCAACCCCCACCACCCACAAAACCACCCACCCACACCATACACAACCCCACAACAACCCCCACACCCTCCCCCACCCCCACCCCCACCCCCAACCACCCACACCCACAAACCCCCCACAACAAACCAAACCCCCACCCCACCACCCACACCACCCAAAAAACACACCCCCCCCACACAACCACCACCACCCCACAAACACACCCCCCCAACACCCCAACCACCACTACCATACACCCCCACCCCCCCCCCACCACACACCCCACAAACACCACCCCCCCATACCACCCACCCCAACCCAACACACACACCACCCACCCCCCACCCCCCCCCCCCCACCCCCCAACACACCAAACCCCACCCCCCCCCCACCACCACCACCCCCCCCCCCCCCCCACACCCACACCCCCCCCCCCCACCCCACCCCCACCTCCCCCCTACCCCCCCCCCCCCCACCAACATAAACTCAACACCAAACCCCTCACCCCACCACCACCCCCACCACCCCCCACCCATAACCCAAATACAACCAACCCCCAACCACCCCCACCCCACAACCAACACCCCCAAAAAAACCACCCACCCCACACAACCCCCACCCCCCCCCCCCCCAACACAACAACCCCCCCACCCCCCAACCCCCCACACCCCCACCACCCCCACCACACACCAACACACCACCACACCCACCAACCCCACACACAACAAAAACACACCCACCACCACCCCCAACACTCACACAAACAAAAAAACACAAACAAAACAAAACACCACCACCCACCACAAAACCACACCCCCACCACCCCCCCACACACCCCACCCAAACACCCCACCAAACCACCCAACCACCACCCCACCAAACACCCCACCCACCCACACACACCAAACCCCCCCCCCAAACCCCACCCCACCACAACACCCCCACCCCACCAACCCAACCCACACCCCCCACCCACCAAAACCACCAACAACAACCACCCCCACCCCCACCACAAACCCACCACCACCACACAAAAACCAACCCCACACCCACCACCCAACCCCCAAAAACCATCCTCTTACTTTCTCAATCTCTCTAAAATTACCCCTACAACTTTCCTACCTAAATCTTCCTCCTCCCACTTTTATCACCCTCTCTCACCCACCACTCATTATTTTTCCTCAAAATAATTCAACATCAACATAATTCTAATCCCTAATAACCCTCTTATCACTCTCAACCTAAACCCCTTCTCTACATCATTAAAAACTCCCCTCCTAAACCACCAAACTTCCAAAACCTATACACTACAACAAAAATTACTTACCCACACACACTACAACTAAACAAATACACAACCAACCTACCAAAACAACACTCAAACCCCCCCCAAATACTACCACCCCCCCCAACAAAAACCACCACCCCAACTACCACCACCTAAACCCAACCCACATCCTTCCAACACCAATCAAAAACCAACAACAAAACCAAACCAACACATCAAAACACACACCAATACCACACACTACCAAAATACAACCTAACCCAACCACTATACCCCAAACCACAATAACACAAAACCACCCAACAATACAAACATTACAAACACCCACACCCCCCCACTCACCCCCACACCCAACTCCACACCTCACCCCCCTCCCTACCCCTCTCCCAACCCCCCACCCACCTCCATAACACACACCCCCCCAACACCATCCACAACCAACACCCCCCAAACCACATCACAACACCCCCCCCAACACCAACCACACCCAACCACCCCCCCCCAACCACACATCCACACCCACATCACCCACAAACCCCTCAAACCCCAATCCACACCATACCCCCCCACCACCCCCACCCCCACCACACCCCCCCCACCCCCCCCCCACCCACCCCCCCTCCACCCCCACCCCCCCCAAATACCACTAATCCCACCCACCCCACCCCAACCACCCACCCCCCCCCCCACCCCCCTCACCCAACCACCCCCAAAACAACCCCAAACCCCAAATAACACCACCCCAAACAACACCCCAACACAAAAACCACAACCTCACACATACAAACTCCCACTTACTATATCACCATTCACCTCCACCCCACCACTCCACCCACCCACCCCAATAAACCAATCCCTCCAACCCCCCCAAAAACTCCAACCAAATACATAATCACCCATCCCCTTCCTCCCCCCCCTACTCCCCCAACCCCAACACCTCAACTACCCACCATATCCTACAAACCCCATCTACAAATACACCCCATTTTCACCCATCTCCACAACCCTAACCCCCCACAACCACCTCATACCATCCATCTCATCCATTACCCCACCCCAACACCTACCACTCACTCATCCTCAAACCCAATCCCCAACCTTAACATTACCACTCTTCCACCCCAACACCACTAAACAAACTCATATAACCCACATAACCACAAACTATCCCCCCTTACCACCACCATTCACAACCACCACAACAAACCACCCAAATCAACCACTATCAATTCATACCCCACCTACACAAAATCTCCAACAACCACACCAACTATCCACCCCACCCTCATAATTAACACAAACCATCCCCCTTCCCCCCCCCTCCCCCAACATACCAACATACCATCTTCCTCCCATCCCTTCACCACTTAACTTCCAACACAACCCCACACCTAATTTTACTTTCCCCCAATCCCATACCTCTTTATGCTGGGTATGGGTATGCTCTACTCACTTTAGACAACTGTGGACCACACTTACACACCAGGCAGAGGCTAACTCATTAAACATTCAAAAGTGACACCTCTTTGAAAAATACAGTGCAGTAACACCTTTCACCACTTGCTCAATAGCGCCGTCCCCATTCTGGGGAGTTCAGGGTGCAGTACCACCTTTTCACCACTTGCTCAATACCGCCGTCAATTATATCTACTTTCACAAAAACTGGTGAAACTCTGAAAATTAGAATAATAAAGTCAATTTACTTACAATCTGAAACTAATATATAACAGATGCATGACACATAAAGTGAGATAGACCAAGCCTTTTTTGTTATAATGTGGATGATTGGCTCACAGCTTGTAGAAACCTTGAATAAAACCAAAATTAAAATGGACTATACACTGTAATCGTCCAAATGATAACAATGCTTGACATTTCAAGTATATCTTATAATGGTTTCCCATTTTTAATTTTTAATTTAATTCTAAATCTCTAAGTTTCAACTCTATCAAATATGCATATATCTAACCAATGATATACGGTACACTGTATGTGTGAGAATTTGCACATGTCATCATAATACGTTGTGTTTGTTGTTTGCTGCAAAGGACAGTATTTATTCAAAAGGTCATGATACAACCAGACGATTTTGCAAGATTGTGGAATGTCGGACTAATTTGTTGAAACTGTTGGGTGTGGAGTATAATATTTTTGTCTTGTAATAAACACATGGGTTCAAAGCAGTGGGTGTATTATTTTCGGGCAGTGCTTGAGCCTAGGATTAGGTGTAATCACAGAGGGTTGTTTGTCCTTTTTCATAGTTAAGTTAGACACATACATTTGATAAAATACAGCAAAAGCTCAGAAATGGGACAAGGAACAAATGCATTAATCTTGGTGACGATCCAGATCACCGTCTGCATCCAGGAAGTTATTTAAGGAATGGAACGGCGTGTCTTGGCAGAGATGCATGCTCTCCGAGTCCTTTTAGTTCCATCTGGTTTGTGGTTGATCTCTTAACCTGGCTGTTTTTTTGGCTTGTTGTCCTCTATTGTATATTTGAGCAGGTATATTTCAAGTGTGCAGTCTTACCTGTAGCAGCAGCTGTGGCCATGTCCCACACAGAGAATCCAAAATAGCAGTCTGTTCTCTTTTTCACTTTGATTCCAAAATTGTGAGTGGGAAGCATGCAGCCTCGCAGCGGGAGAACCACTGTGTAAGAGCGCTGTGCATTTTAATGTTCATATCATTTGAACCGCTTCTGAATTAATTATGCAATAAGCTTTCATAAAACATTTGTAATCAGTGAACTTTTCAGCTTCGTCAGATCAGTTGCCAGTTAAGTAAGTTGTTGCCAGAGTGGATAAATACTGACTCTTTACATGCATAAAGTTTATCGTCAATGAGGGAAAACACAACATAAGCGGCTCCAAAGATAGTCGGGAGACCTGCTAAATGAATTCAATAAACAATGCTATCTATTTCTTGTTAAAATTGTGTCCCAAAATGAGTCAGAAATGGAGTGGTATTGCGGGAATTTAAGTGGAAACTGTCAAGGCTGCGCCCCACCAGAACTTTTCAATAATTTTATGTTACAACAGCTAAACGTACAATATTTAAAGTCAAATTTAAATCAGTCTGCCATATTTCTGTTTTCTTGTCTTTCCATAATTATAAAACACTATACTCGGTGCTTCTGCTGATTTGATTTTAATGCCTTGTATTGTTTTTATCTAAAACTCAACACTTCCTGAGAGAAACATTTTAACCGGTAAAAGCCGCTATCATCCAGTTGCTAGATTTTTAAAAATACAAAAAAGGAAACTGACCTTATATATATTGGACCATGCTCTGTGCCCACAATTGTAGCCAGGGTTAGCTCATTGCATTTTAAAGAACAGTTCACACAAAGATGTTCAGGAGAGGAGGAGGAATGCCAGAGGTCATTTGGCCAGAGCTCCAGAGTCTGCAGAGTAAATAGTGAAGAGAAATTCTAGTGTGGACCTCAACCAATGCTGCTCAAGTATGTGAAAGGTACTGATAGAAGCTACAGCGGCCCGAGGCAGCTCTGATGGGCTGTTTTGAACATTATACTTTGTCTCTTTCTTATAAAACAGACTGTAGAGAGCTTGTTGAAGGAGATGCATCAGGGGCTTGGGAGTCAGACTAAAGCACATGTACCACACATTCAACTTGCTTTGATGATTTCAGTGTATTGTAAAACTGCTTGCTACAATAATTGGTTAATCTATTCTTCATGTATGATTATGAAGCTGAAGCGGAAATTCAGACTGGAAGACAGACAGTTTTCTGTGAAGGAGGTAAAAGATATACACAAAAAGCATTTAGAGAGTGGTTTAGAGAGAGGGAGAGGGCAGGGATTTTTATTAACATTTATTGTAACAGAAAAATGCATGTTTGAATGGAACTTTTAGATTTTCCTTGGTCTTCCTTCTTTGTCAAATTTCATCGATGCGACATTGGATACATTTTTCAAGTTTACAGGTTTCAAAAATATACACCGCTTCGTATTCGTCTGGACTGATGCGCCGCAGAGATGTCCATTTGCATTTCTGTGAAGCAACTGTTTGTTTCCTCACCTCGTCCTCATGTCCCCAGGGACTTCTGTTCTGTCTGACTTCAAACCTTTCGTGCCCACAACAGGTCAGTTTGAATCATTAGAAAAGATGCATGGTCTGCTGTCCCTCAGAGCCTCGGACGACCCCTCTCCCCGACGTTTCGTGCTCCCGCAAACTCTCATTCATAACAATTGTGTGTTGAAGTCAGTTAAAATTGTGTAAATAAAAGACCAGAGTTATGAGATTTCACCTGGGTGCTTGAAAACTCAGGGATCAGTGCCTAAGCGGAAGTTGGAAAAACAATAACAATATCTTTTTATTTTTGGGTAAGAAAGGCAAAAAAATAGACTGCCTGCAACACGCTGAGAGAACAATGATATAATTATGAATTTCAATGAAGTCTCTATTTCAGGGAAAAGGATCGAATACAAGGCTTCATGCAAACCACTTTAAATGATCAAGGACAGGATATTGATGTGGCGCAAATAGATAAGATAAGGTTAATGGTGACAGTGTTCCAACAGGAAATTACATTTTTTACTCTAGTCCTCAGATGGATTCATGTTAAGGATATATTTTATACAAAACTCTAAAATGTACAGAACCTCAGGATGAACAAGAACCATTAAAACCAAAGCTCATTGTATCTGCTTGTATCCAAACAGAAATGTAGAGAACTACTAAAATCGATAACAGATATAACAGTGGTGACGCCCTGTGACTGAGTGGTACTCCTCTCTGCGTGGGAATCTCTGGGCACTGTGGTTTCCCCTACCACTAAAAAGTACAATAGGTCAAATCTCCAGCCCCAGTTCTGACCAAGAGCATCAAATTCTGGAGACGGGTGCTCAAGTGCCACTGCTCCTCACAGAGGCCCTAGTGGCATTGAAGGATGGGACAGAGGACAATACGTATAATATCTGCATTTAGTACCCGACCATCAGCTCTCTGATCAACATGGTCAGTGGAGGATGTACCTCTACAGCTCAGGAAAGCCAAGCTGCCTGCACAGATGAAGTTCTCATCCCTCACCGTGGAGCACTTGTAGAAGTGGTTTTAAGACATTTATGAAGATTTTCTGTGCATGCCTTGTATCTATTTTTACTTTTATAAGACCCTGAACCAAAGCAAGTTCCTAGTTGATTAGTTTGTGTAGTAGCAATAAAAAATAATTCTGAGTCTGATCTATACAACTAATCTAAAAAAACGTGTTAATTCCAGCTATAAATGAGCGTCAAGACCACTGACCATTTCCAGTGATAGACCGACCAACCCAACACATTCACACTAATCTTTCTTCCAATAGATTTGTCCCTGTCCTGATCTGGCCCTGTCACATCTCTCATTGTGCTCAGACGCCTCCTTGGGCCGACCTCCGCGGTGATGCGCCGATGGGGAAACACCGGATCTGTTGGCCGCGAGCCACCTCATCTGACGGCCGCGTTGCCAGGGATTCAAACGCCTTCTTCCCACAAAATACCTCCCAGTTTCTCAGCGTTTCCGCCTCTCAGCTCCATAATTAAGCGACACCACAGAACCCGCCCCTTCCTCCTTCCAAGGCGATAATTTCGGCTAAAATGCATTCAGTCAATATTGAGATCAGCGCTGGTTTATGCATACAGTGGCGCCCGGAGAGGTTAATGGAATTGGAAAACTATCGCGGCGCGCAGTTTGCTCGGAATGCGCCACGCCTGGGGGCAACGGTTTTAATTCAGCGTGGAGACATGATTCACTCCGCAAACCAATTTTCACTGTAAAACAAAAGTGCAACGTCTTCCGTCACAGGCGAAGGTTCATTGCTGCAGCTCATAAAGTCTCGGTATGAATCTTGCGGGCCCCTTGTTTTATTAATGATTGTTCTTGCCCCAAACCAACGCAAAGGCCGAAAACGGCGCACTTATCGCAGAGTGCCTTAAATCTCATTGCAACTGCCAAACAATGAATCAAAGCCAAAATATCAATACAACCTTGAGCCGTGTTCCATCGGGCCTAAAGTAAGATTGGAGATTAGCTGAGTGACAAGGCCCC